AAAAAAAAAATTATACTTTACCTACTTTTTTTTCACTGAATTATCTGCCTCTGTCTTCTTAATAGCAGTATAACATTTTATTTTACCCTAACATATTTAACCAGTTGTCTGTTGATGGACATGTAGGTTGTTAACAGGTTTTCAGTGTTACAGAGTATTGCTGTGAACATCCTTATACACACACATATGTAAACATTGGTGTGTGCATGTTTTTCTAGGGCAGTGGTTCTCACTCTACTTTAAAAGGCTTAAGAAAACACTGATGCTCCAGGTTCTAGTCAGGCTTCTGGGGATGGGACCCAGGCTTTGGTATTTTTTCAGAGCTCCTCAGATGACCCCAGTATGTAGTCGGGGTGGGTACCACAGCTGTATGATTCTTAGAAGTGGCCTTGCTGTCAGTGATAAAAGACAGGGTACGTTTTTGTGGACATTGTAACATTGTTCTCTATATTAGTTAGAATTAGTAGCAACTGCCAATAATGGAAACCTAAAGTTGGTTTAAACAAGATAGTTTATTTTTGTTTTATATAAAGTTCTAGACATGGGCAGTTTTGTTCCACAAAGTCCTCAGTACCCAGCTTCCTTCTTGCTTTTGTGAAGGAAAGCTTTTAACCTCACTCTCCAAGATAGAGGTTAGAGCTCCTGCCATCACGTCCATGTTCCAGGCAGCAGAATGGGTTGAAACATGAAAGAGGCAAAATGCGTAGACCAGCTATCCTTCTAAAAGATTCCTGGAAACTACCACAAAACAGTTCTACATACATCATCTTGGCCAGAACTATAAGACCACACCCAGTTGCAAGGACAGCTGAGAAAAAGGCTATTTTCTAGGTGACCATTGTGCCCTGCTAAAAACCAGCGGTTCTCTTATGTGAAAAAAAAAGAGAACTGATGGAGGCACCCACTAGCAGTTTCTGCCGTGTTCTCCGTGAGAGCTGTGAGAATCTGCCCGCAGATTCTGTGCTCGTTGCCAGACCGAGCCTGCGCGTTTTGGCCAAAACTGCTGCGTCAGCAGAAAGCTTCATTTGCACAGAAGAGAACTTCAGACAGCGTGTTGGTTGGGGAGAGGCAAAATAAATTTCAGTCAGACTCAGGGAAGATGCTGGAGCGTGGTAACTTGATTGTTAAGGGAGAAGAATAAAGGTGTCGAAGGCCAGTTTTTAAATTGCCAACAGCTTTGTCCCTCCCTGATGCTTTAGCTCTGGGTGGGGCGATTCATTGCCTGTCAGAAAGGCATTCGTTGTTTATTAACATACTCAAGTTATGTTAATGCTGCACACCCTCATTTGAATGTACTTCTCAAAGAGGACATCTTTTTTATTTAAATCTATTGGGGCAACACTGGTTAATAACATTGTGTAAGTTTCAGGTATACAGTTCTGTACCGCATGATGTGCTCACCACCCAGTCTTGCTTCCTTCCATCACCAAGTATTTATTGGACCTGCTTTACCCCGTTCATCTTGCCACCACCTGCCTTCCCCCCTGGTAACCACCATACTGTTGTCTGTGTCTGAGTTTGTTTTGTTCATTTGTGCTTTCGTTTTTATGTCCCACGTACATGTGAAATCATATGGTTTTTGTCCTTTTCTGTCTGACTTACTTCGCTTAGCATAATACTCTCAAGATCCATCCATGTCGCAAGCGGCATTGTTTCATCATTTTTTATGGCCAAGTAATGGTATAAACTACCACATTTTTAGAATCCATCTAGCAAAGGACGCTTAGGATGTTCCCATGTCTTGGCTATTATGACTAATGCTGCAGTGAACATAGGGGTGCGTATATCTTTACGAATAAGTGTTTGCAAGTTTTTCAGATAGATAGATACCCAGAAGAGGGATTGCTGGGTCACAATTTTTTGAAGAACCTCCACACTGTTTTCCATAGTGGCTGCACCAATTTACATTCCTACCAGCAGTGTACAAGGGTTCCCTTTTCTCCACAGCGTGTCCAACACTTGTTATTACTTGTCTTATTGATAATAGCCATTCTGACAGGTGTGAGGTGGTATCTCAGTGTGGTTTTGATTTGCATTTCCCTGATAATTAGCGATGTTGAACATCTTTTCATGTATCTGTTGACTGTGTATCTTCTTGGGAGAAGTGTCTTTTCAGGTCGTCTGCCCATTTTTAATTGGATTGTTAGTTTTTCCGTTGAGTTGTATGAGTTCTTTATATATTAAAATTATATATATATTCATATGTATATATATGAGTTCTTTGCATATTAGCCTAGCCCCTTATCAGAGATGTTGTTTGCAAATATCTTCTCTATTTGATTGGTTGCCTTTTTGTTTTATTGGTGGTTTCTTTTTTTATGCAGAAGCTTTTTTAGTTTGATATAGTCCCATTCACTTATTTTTGTTTTTACTTCCCTTGCCTTTGGGGTCAAGTTCACAAAAACCCCTCAGAGACCAAGGTCTGTAAGTTTAGCGCCTGTGTTTTCTTCTAAGTATTTTATTGTTTCAGGTCTTATATTCAAGTCTTTAACCTATTTTGAGTTAATAGTTGTGTATGATACCAGACAGTCTGGTTTCATTCTTTTGCCATGTGGCTTCTAATTTTAAGGAGGACATCTTAACACGTAATTTTTATATTTTAAATAAGTATTTTTAAATTAGGAAATGAGTTCGCTATATGGCCTTTTTTAATCAGTATTTTTTTGTTATTGCAGTGGATGAAGGTCGCAGTAAGGAACCTGACCGATTGCAAGTGTTTCACAAGAAAGCCATCATGCCTTACGGCGTTTATAAGAAACAACGGAAAGACCCGAGCGAGGAGGCTACTGTGCTGCAGTACGCGAGCCTGGTGGGCCAGGTGTGTGCCGAGCGGATGCTGCTTTTCCGGAACTGAAGCCGCCCCGCCCCCTCCCTGCCCTGTCGCTCCGGGGAAGTCCCATAACCGTCCTCAAATCTATTTTTTTTATTTTGACTATTATATGGCTTTTCTAAAATACTTTGTGGCAATGTATTTGTGGGAATCTCATGGTGAATATAAAGATTTTTTAAATGCGTTATTACCTAGGTTCATATTCGGGGGTTATCATTTTGGAATTTTGTTTTATGAACAAGATATGATAAACTTCTCTTACTGTTAATATTTTAGAAAGTAAAATTAGTGAATCTTCAGTAATTTAAATTACAATTGTGCTTCTTTGTTGTTAGAGAAACCAGGACAGACTGTTTCCTCAGATCCATATAAAACATTAGTTTGTGCTGAAAACCTTGATTTGTACAAGAAGGTGGGAAGTTTGTTACATCACATAGAAAATGTCGTCTTCAGAGAACAAAACTGGCTGTCACTCAGTGCTCAATACTAAGTTCTGTAGAATGTTGTCATGTAGTTTAGAGAACTCAGAAAAAGAAAATGCAAACATTAAAAGGATGTCACGTTGCCATTGGGTGTCTGTTTACCCAGGACCGTCCATTTCACGTCTGATTCTTGGAATGGTATTTTTCCTAGAATAATTATTACAAGTGCTCCATTTTACTCTCTGAGTATCCCAGTTAAGACCATAAAATGTATGTTTGCCCTAATATATTACATTCTTTGCTCTATTTCTCAAAATCTAAGAAATGAGTTATTTAAGAAAAACGTTGGCTTCTGCCTTCACCTGAGCGAGCCTTGTCAGAAGTAAATGTACACTAATTTTCATTCCTTAAAAGTCAGGACATTTGTCTATGATTACTGAATAAAAACTAGTTAATATATGACTACTTTTATAGCTGTGCTACAAGTCACATTTAATTGAGTAGCAATCATAGTGACCTCTTTTCCAGGGTATATGAAACGATCCATTTGTTGCCCTTTGATTGGCTGTCATAGAGGAGATGCTTCCCTAGTAATTTGAAGCAGAGGCTACCCTACCCCACTTTCCTTCTCACTTCCTTTCATTTGGCCCTTGGCCCGTTCAGCAGATGCCCTTGTCCACCACTGTCAAGGTGGCAGGCACTGTGCTGGGAGGAAGGAAGAGAATCGGACGTGTTAGTTCATGGTTACAGTTGAGTTGTGTTGGCGACGGTGCAGGACAAGAGGACGTTGTTTGCCTGTCCTCTTTCTCAGCTGATCCACCTTCTGGTGCCTGCTGCTTGGCCACTGAATCCTTTTCAGTCCCCATTTTGCCCGTTTGTCCACTTTCTTTGATCTTTTTGAAAACCGTATTATAAAACTTAGTAGTTTGAATACCACTGCTGATTTTAAACTTTTCTTGTAAATTCACTGAATTTAAATAAAACATGAAAAAATAATTGAGCTAGCTAGAATAAAAGGATTACAAAACAGTGATTTTAGAAGTCAAATGTGTAGAAATTCAACATCCAAATAAACTGTACGAGGTGTGATTTAAAAAATACAGTGAATGTTTTAAAAAAATTTATTACAGTAAAAGACACATTGTCATTAACCTCTCTCAAAATACTCCCCCCTCGCTTCGAACACACTTATCCCATCATTCTTGCCACTTTCTGAAGCAGTTCTGGAAGTCCTCTTTCGTGAGTATCTTTAGTTGCTCTGTCATGGCTGCTTCAATGTCCTGAATCATTTTGACTTTGGGGAAGAGCCAGAAATCACATGGTGCCAGGTCCAGTGAATAAAGTGGATGAGAAAACACCATGATGTTTTTATTTAACAGAAATTACCATATACCAGAAGCGATGTGTGACATGGAGCGTAGTCGTGATGGAGGGTGATTTATGGCAAACTTTAAAACACACCTTCTCTCAACCGTAGCTCACACCCGACTGCACCAAACAAGTTGAAACTTGTCACACACTGTTACTAAGGTTCGACACGCCACTTCCCATATTCAAGATCCCTGCCTTTCCGTTGGAGGGCACTCGGCAGCAGCAGTCACTATGTTTTGTGATCACATGGAAAGGACATCGGAAATTACAATGAAATACCCAGGAAGGATTTCAGAAGTGTTGTGTGAATCTTGGTGTTACTGTAACAAGAGGCTCGGGACTGGCACCCTTGATGTTTGGATGGCCAGGCCGGTGTCTTCCGCTGTGTCACTCCTGTGTTCATTGTAGCAATTACCATGTAGGGAAATGGCTGATCACCCCTGTCTGGGAGCTGTGACTCGGTCCCTGAGGGCGGCTCTCTGGGTCCACTCCATGAAGCCCCACAGAGTCGGATGGAGATTCTTCGCTCACTTGCTATATTCATATGTTTTTTAGTTTGAGACTAGGTCGTGTAATGATCCTAATGAGCAAAGTGTCTTCAAAAGACAGTTGTGTGTTCTTTTGAGTCTTAGTGAATATTGATAATAGGCTAAAAAAGGACAATCAAGGACAGTGACCTGTCAGTTGACAAGCAATCTAGGTGAGAAAATTGATTTTATGTTAATGGCTTTCATCTACAGAAAGACGAGAACTTTTCAGAGTCAGTTTATGTCTTTTCAAGGCTGGAAGCTTTGCCTTTATAATTTAGTGCTGTAATCCTTTTCTGATTTCACATTCATACCTATTTCCCTGTCTTGGGGGCCAAAATCTAATAGAGATTCCCCATGCTACCATCTTTATTTAAGTTATTTCTCTTATGTTGAGAATTTCATTGTCTTATTTTTAAAAAGTTTAATCCAAGCACTTTTTTATATTCTAAAAGATAGAAGCTATTATTAGAGAAATATATTAATCATTTGATTAAAATTATTTAGATAAAAATTATTACTGTTTGTTTGCTTTCAAACAGTTTATCCTATTTTTTGTCCATTTTGCAAAATACCAGTTGTGTGTGGTTTCTTAACATAGTGGAATCTGTTATGTAAATGAGCCTTTTCAGATTTCTGAACAATATATGGTTTGATTTTATAGGCTTTATATTATTTCAGTATGAATAAAGATGAGAAAGAATATGACGACCAGTTACCTAAAATGTATCTATTGCTAACTTTAAAGAAAAGATAAATAAAATGGAAACAATTGGGAAATGTCTAAATTAGAAGTTGTTCAAATGTTTATTCTTTTTCAAAAGAAAACCAGTGACTGTAAGACAAAACAAGTTTGATTGCATGTGATAGTTTTTGCTCTTGTATATGCTTTTTGAACAGTCCATTTGATAAAGCTTGAATGGAAAAAAATAAAGCTGTTTCTATCTGCAGTGGCTTTTGCTGGTCAGTACTTAAAAGATATGTTTTCATCTTTGAAACTCTTGAATACATTTTACCTGTAGTAAATATGCAGAAAACAGAAGTAAACATTGTATGAATCATAATATTTAATTTTCAGTAATTGGAATTCCAGATCACTTAGTTAAAGCATGATGGATTTCTTTCTCAGGAATAAAGAAAAGTAAAGTAAATCTTTCCTTAAGCAAAAAGTTTGGATTTTCACAAGATCTTTGGATAAAATACCCAAAGGGATTTGAAATAAGATTTAAGTAACAAACTTGAATATAATTTCTCTTAAAAAGTTGTTTACAGAGAAATTTTTTAAATATCGTAAAGCAAAGTGTGCTTTGTTTCTAAAAGTCCACAGTGTATTTATGGGATGTATTTACAAGTATTTGTCTTGTTATGGTAAAGAGGGTCCTGGTGTGTTTATGACAAAATGAATCCTATTTTCCAAGTGATTTAAATATTAGTTATAATTCCCGCTGACTTTTTTTTTCTAGAATAGAAATAGCTTTGTTGTTTTTCTTATTTGAAATGGACAGTGTTCAGCAGAGAATATTTAAACAATATAGAAAAATATATCAAAAAAGTCATTCATAATGACCACTAACTACTACCATTCATGGTTTGGTTTATATCCTTTCTACCTACATGTATGTATATGTTTTGTGTTATTTTTAAATAAAAATGGAATCATGCCATGTACATTGTTTCATATTTTTTAATCTAATATCTTTGAACATCAATATATTGTGAAAATGCAAATAATTAAGAATATCATTTTAATGGCTGCCTAATATTCCACCATCATCTTCTGAGAATGGATCTTAAGATTTTAGCCCCAGGGCCGGCCGAGTGGCTCAGTTGGTTAAGAGCTCGCTCAACAGTGCGAGCTCTGAGCAACAGGGTCGCCAGTTCGATTCCCGACCCGAGCTGAGCTGCTGCAGCACTGCCAATAGGTGGCAGGATGGCTCAGCTAAAAAAAAAAGAGAGAGAAAGAAAAAGATTTTAGCCCCTTCTTTTGGGTAATAGGAGTTGTAATGGAGATCGGCATTAATAGTTTTTATCAGTTCTTTGTAAAACTTGATAATGTTCTTGCTCTTCATTTCCTGGTTCTTTTTGCATTTCGCTGGACAGTAGGAATTTTCTCCTGACTGGAAGGTTCAGAAAATGTATAGCTTTTAAAACTTTGCATTCCTCTCATTGTCACTCAACTAAATATTTTCTGGGAGACCTATACTACTATTTTTATAGTTTGTACACCTCTGAAATTTCCAGTTTGAAAACGTTTGTCTTAAAAGCTTGTTATTTAAAGGTTCGTTGATTCTTTCATAGAAAAGATGTCTTTAAAATGGGTATATCAGAAAGAGTTGGTAACCATACCACTATTATTAAGTTTTTCAGTTCTAAAAATGTGTTTTTACTTTTTAAAATATTTTGAGATTTAGTGTGAAATAAAATTGCATTTTTGTATCCAGTTGGTTGTCACAGTTGATATCTTCAATTCAGTACTATCCAGAAAATATTTCCCATTAACTGTTTCAATTAGAATAAGAAAGTTGCTGAATATGATTTGCATGCCAAATTTTTATTCTTTTGGAATTTCAAAATAGCTTGCAGATTTTTATAGCTTGATTTCCTCACCACGTCTCTTCATCTGCAATATGAGGAATCAATCCCAAATAGAAGTAAAAACAAACAAACAAACAAACAAAAGCCCACCTGGAAACATAATACAGCAAATCTTGGTGTTACGTGGCATCCATGATTTTTACTAATTATCCTTTAGCATGGCACTCAAATGTTTAAACCACCTTAGAGAAGAAATATCCTCCACTTGTCGGGTATGCATAAAGCAGGCTAGAAATGACGAGCACAAATATCTTTGTTTCTTTGATCATTAGTCTGATTAGAGCCGGTATGCAAAAAGTGGTTTCTAAATTTTATTTTTAAATATTAGCAAACTAGAGCCATATACCAAAAAAGGTTAAACGTTGTGCTGTTTGTTAACTTGCATAAAATTCAGCTATATGATTTTGGATCCTTCTTTCTTTTGAACCTTCGTTTTTCGTGCTTTCGTCCAGTCTGTGTGCAGGGTCTTAAAATCATTTAACACGGGCTTTTTTGAAAAAAAATTTAATTAGCGTTAAATGAGACCTCATGAATACTTCATGAAGCCCAATTCATCACACTTTGTTAATTCAGTATTCAGTGAGTCTGAATAGCATCTCTTAACTAATGGAAGGAATTTCCAATCATGAAACAAGAAAAACAGCATTTCGGTTTGTGAATTCAGAGCTTAAGGCTCAGCTCAGTTGTACGTGTGGGTAGTTCTATGCACTTTTCCAGCATATTTTAAAATACTGAGAGATGGCCGGACTGTAATTTGGAAGCTAACTCTTACTGATGTTATCCATTGAAACGTGTGTGTGTGTGTGTATATTGCCAGTAACAG